AACCCCAGGAACTGATCAGTGTGGGGACTGGGTCCCTCTCTGCCCCCTCCCCTCCCCCCCTCCTGGTGCTGTGGGGCTCCCAGCTCCCCAGAGAAGCAGGGAGTTGAGCAGCCCAGGACTGGGGAGCTCTTCCTTCCCCGCTCAGCCCAGGAGCTGTCCCATCAGTGGAACAGCTGGCTGGGCAGGGAATCCAGGGAATCCCTGCCCAGCTGGGGGCTCGCTGCTAGCTGCCCCACCAGGGGGCCAGCTTCTGCCCCCTCCCTCAACTGAGCAGAGATTCCCCATGCAACTGGGGGCTCGCTGCTAGCTGACACCAGCAAATGGAGGCAGGGGGCTGGGAACAAGTCCCTGCCCCTGCAGCTCTTTCCTAGCAAAGAAGGCATCAACAAAGCCAATCGCACCTTATCGTGCACTAGCAGATGCATGACCAACAGATCAAGGGACGTGATGTTCCCCCTCTACATAGCACTGGTCAGGCCGCATTTGGAGTACTGCATCCAGTTTTGGACACTGCACTTCAAGAGAGATGTGGAGAATCTGGAGAGGGTCCAGAAGAGGGCCACTCGCATGATTAGAGACCTCCATGCAAGACCCTACAAGGGGAGGTTGAGGGATCTGGATCTCTTCAGCCTTCACAAGAGACATCTAAGGGGAAACCTTGTAGCAGCCCAAGTTTCTCAAGGGAGGACAACAGAGAGTTGGAGATGCGCTATTTACCAGGGCACCCCTAGGAGTAACTAGGGGTTACTCCTAGGGGTGCCCTGGGGTAACCTGGGGTACCCCAGGGGTAAGTAGGGGTTCTTGTTCGAGAGGAACAATGGGTGCAAACTAGTGGAGAGTACATTCAGGTTAGAGGAGGCTAGATAGGTACCTGGCTGGGGTCGTCTGACCTCGGTCCTTTTTCTACCTGGGGCAGGGGATCCGACACGATGATCCTTCGGGGATCCCTTCCAACTCTACCATCTATGAATCTATGAAAAAGGCACAGGGCTGGGAAAGAGAAGCAGGGAAGGGGCATATCCCAGCCAGCTCTGGGCTGTACAGTGTGCAGCCAGGAGCTGGCTGGGACCTGCCCCAGACCAGGACAGCTCCCAGCCAGTCCAGGGCTGTGCAGGCAAGGCCCACTGGGCACAGGGCTTCATCCCATGCACATGGGGTGGTACAGCTCTGCAGCAGCAGCTGTCTCCTGGCCCTGTGCACATCAGGACCCCTCCCGCTGTGTACAGGGCCAGGAGACAGTTGCTGCTGCAGCCGACAGAGCTGTCCCAGTCCCTCACACATGGAGACCAGCCCCATGCTCCCTACCAGCCCCCAGGAGGAACCTGGAGCTCCTCCTGGCTGCTGCCAGGGGGCAGAGCCGAGTGTGAGTAGCCCTGTATCATGCTGCTCTCATCGGGACCAAATCGGTTGCCAAGAGGGAGCATGTGTAGATGTGCTCCCGGGTAGGCTTACTGTGCAGTATTTTTACTGTGCAGTAAACCTACTTTGAATTAATAGCACATGTAGACACTCCCAGGGAGAATGAACTATGGCCTATCCCTTTGGATGTCCCACCTCTAACAGTGTTAAATGCCTATCAGTAATGTTGCACAAGCATGCATGTAATACATTCCAGATTCTGGACTTGACTGATGCTTATTTTGACATCTCTAAAAAACATTTAGTGAGAGGCACGTTCAAAGGACCTTTCAATCCGAAACAGAGCGGAAAGGTTTTCATAAGCTCACCGAGACACTCCAGTTGCCAGCTGCTTTAATGAAAGCTCCCCAAGCAGCCTGGATCACGTGGCAGGGAACAATACACTTCTTTAAATAGCCATCTTGATCTGCTCACCTGCCTTGCCAAAGGATGGACACACATTTCAATTCATTTGTTATTTCTCAGGCAGCCGCTCTCTGTCCTCTGTGGCATTTTGTCCTAGCAACCAAAACCCAGCAAAAAAGTCCCCAAAGTGGTCTGAGATCCTACACGATGATGAACAGAACAGAGTTGCCTCCTTGCTCTTTGCTTGCTGAGCACTGCTTCAAATCCATGCAACGTACTCCCTGCAGTACACTGTTTAAGTCTTACTTACCCGAGAGGTCACTCATGTGCAACACTTCTACATCATGCCACAGTGCTGAGATCAGAAAGGATGCTCTTGCTAATGCTTGGAGACCTTGACACATTAGAACTGTGCCACCCACCCCCAAGCAAGGAAGCTGACCTAGTCGTATTGTACAAGTCAACTGGGATTTCAAGGGAACTGAATTAGCCCAAAAATGGTTACGTCTCTATAGTAAACTTCACTACCATCAGAGAGAGTATCCTCAAGCTGCTCAGTCAGGGCTGTCTCCAAATGCCAAAGCAATGGAGTTGCATCCAGGCAGCCATACAGGTGAGCTAATTAATTTAAGGGCAAACTAATGATCACTTAGCAGTGCTAACGAGCCCACCCAAGAACCACACAGAGGCTTCATCAACTACTTCTAACTCTAATGACATAGAGCACCCGACTGAGGGCACTGTCACTTGGGACGGTAAGCTCACCATCTATACAAGGCCAATGAGTGCTCTTGGAAACTCCACATAAACAGAGCTGATGGGAAATCAGCTTCCATCTGCCCTTGGAAAGTTTCAATGAACACCAAAAATATTTTGCTTCCACCAACAACCAAACACGTCCACCCAAGGTACCAGTAGGTTCCAAGTTGTCCCCAACCACATATTGAAGTTTTCCCCCACAAAGGAGGAGCAAAAGCATCCATACCAATAGCCAGTTTTCTGATTACTCTTTTTCAAGAAACATGAGTTCAAACTGGAGCAGGTGCAAAGAAGGGCTATTAGGATGATCAGGGGAATGAAGAACCCACCACAGAAGAGATGACTATATGAGCTAAGGTCCCTTAGCCTAGAAAAGGGAAAGCAAGGAGGGGCTATGACTGCTCAAGGAGTTAAACAGGTGGAAAAGAGAAGAACTATTTCAAGCTAAAAGACCATAACTGCACAAAAACAAATTACTAAAAAGGAGCCATGAATGGGCTGAAAATTAGAAGTCATTCACTATTAAAGCATTCCACATAGAGCAGTTGTGGGGTGGGGATGGGACGAGGGAAGCCTGCCACATGTTCTGGTGTATAAGGTACAGTGTTCCCCACATCAAGAAAGGTCTAAAATCAGGGTATGTCTTATACATCAAAGCTACATTAAAAAGACTATTTGAAATCACTGCAATTGAAGTTTACCAGAAGTCAGCTTAAGTTTAAAACTCCCCCACAACTTTATCTTCAGGGGAGGGGAGGAGCATGTTATACAAATATGTCTGATGCATCATAAAATAATTTATTTCAAGATGGAGGTCAATAATGGTATGAAGATTATCTGATATGGTGCCTGTGATAGCAGGAATTGGACCCAGTGAGGCAATAGATCCCTTGCAGTCCTTTGCTCCTAAATCAAAAAATAGTGTTTAATGTCCCTATTTCCATTCCATTTAATTTTAAGACATTAGGTCACCGCCCTGGATTGCTCATGCCCCATCTACATTGCATTTCCTATTAAGCCTAAGCACTTCCAGGCAGTGTTTATATTTGTATGTTGTACAACGCACTCCACCAAGCATACCCGTGATACTAAATCACTGCCATCACAGAGGAGAGCCCTCAGCGCTTTTCAAGAGGTACTCAGCTCTTCTAGCAACTGAAATAAGCTTTTCAGTACTGGTTTCCAGGATCCTAGATGGGTTGATTTGCAATGAGCCACAACACAGCCTCTAGTTCCTCTAGGCGACAAAACAAGGGTGTTTTCTAAGAAAGAATTCAGATCAGCCATGGTATTTTTAAGGTGCAGAGAAGCCATCAAAATAGGTTTTCATATTAGTTCAGCTGTTTTTATACCTCCAGCTGTAGCCATATTAAAAGTCTTTTAAAAAGCCACTGAAATATTGCAGTTCTTTAGTCCTCAGTGTGAACAGGTGCCTCTGTCCCTTTTAAGCCATAAAAATAAAACAGCTCCAATTTTTCACTTTGTAAAAGCAGGTTTTTTTCATATTTTTTACGAGGGTGCATAAAGGATAATGTCACTAGCACACTGCAGTGGGAGTTCACACACTCCAGCTACACAGTCCAGTACCTTTGTCAGAGTATGTCAGAGTCAGCTTAAGTGTTGCATGTGCCATCAGTGACACGGTATCAGCACCAAACCTGGGCCTGCTGCGGGACAGCCTGGTTTTGCTTTTGCCCGCTTGCCCTGGCATCAGGCAATGATGATATCACTGGGGGCATCCTTGTATTAACACTACACGTAGAGGTCGGCTCCAGGAGCCAAGTTCAAATCCAGACCCAAACTCAAGTGTGAAAGTTTTCAGATTTGAGATGTCAATTCAATCCCAAGCAGAAAATGCGGCCAGCCACGCTTAACACCAAACCCACTCACTCAGTAACCCAGCTTCCACGCGTGTCTCATGCACGTGCAGCAGACACCTCTCCTACCCATCCGCTGCACTCTCACATCTTTTATCCTCCCCAGCTCAGTGCTTGCTCATCTCCTTAACTCACTCTTTCTCAATCTGCCCCTCACCCCAAAGCCGCCAGTTCTTCTCTTCAACCCAAATTCACCCCAAAAACCTGTTAGTCCCTCCAGAGCATCTCTCCAAAGCTGCTGCAGCCACCTCAGCACTGTTTCAAGACTCCTCTGAAAGCAGGCACATCTTGACCACTTCCCCTGCACCACCATGTTGTAGGCTAAAGGAATTAGGTTTCAGATCTAGCTTCTCTCTTAAGAAAAGGAGCATCCCAGAACTACAAGGGCTGCTACAGGAGCCTGTATATATACTCCCTGCTTGCTCAGCCTAAGAAAAGGCATTAAAATATTGCAATAGACCTGTTTAAATGGCACAGCCTCTATCTATGGCATCATGTACAGAGATACAAGGGTTTATCTTATCCATGCCACATTCAAAATGAGTAAGAAAGCATTGTGCAGTGAAGAGAGAGAGGAGGCAACCACAACCTGCTACTCACCTCTCTTCTCCTCAGCAATGGGAGGGGAAAGAAAAGGCCAGGTGTTAAGTCTGCCTATGTATTGAGAGTGGGCCAGAACCACACACTAACTGCAGAGGATCAAAACAGAACATGCTTCAAAACAAGCCAGCAGACGATAGCCCCAGCTGGGCTCAAGTAGGGACTTTGCTGTCTCTCTCAGACAATCAGGCTGCAGATGGACACGGCCAGGCTGAGGCTGATGCTCCCCAGCTGGTCAGCCAGCCCAAGGGTGGTTGCCTGTTTCTGCTCCAGATGCCAGGAGTGGTGCATGAATGGAGTTGTGACTGCCCTAGGAAGGCATCTGCGCTTAACCAAAGGCAGATCAAAACATGAGGGCCAGCAACACAGTTCCCTGCCTCCCCTGCACTGCCCTATCCCCACGGCACACAATACTGTTGCATTTTGCATCCTTTTCTAGGCTCATGCAACAAGCACACCAAAAAGAGGGTGCATCTGCACTTTTCTGGCACTTGCAGTTTTCTTGCAAAGCCTCATTTCGCCCAGCATATCCCAGATGCTCATCTTCACTGAGGCCTGAGACAATGGCAAAGGTGAGGTTTTAAGATGGGCTATCACTAAGATATACGAAGGACCAACGAGACAGCTTCTGAAAAGTGACAATCTGGTGAAAATTCAAATCTGACCGTGGCTGAATAATTCAGAAACTCCCCACATAATTGCTGAAAATGGTCGTTTCATTAAGGGAGCTATAGATCTAGCCCTTTCGGATGCTGAAGGTTTTAAAAGCCTCTTATAGGAGTCGAGGCCATTTTCTTGGAGAAGCTCAGTGCTTTGCTAAATCAAGCCAAAGCCACCCCGCCTGCAAGGAGAGGGAAAGGAAGGAAAGCAAAGAATCCCCTGCATGAAGGATGTATTTATCATAATGCACGTGATAAGGGGGCACTGGCAGTTGTGTGTCTGAGCTAGGATTTACAAAGCTTGGAGAGAACAGAAAAGGCAGATTTAAGACCCACTTTAGGTTTCCCTAGCCCTCGTGGTGGTTCTAGGTCAGTGCATGGTATAACAGGGAACCAACAGCCTCAACAGGATTGTTCCAGCAGCCAGGGGGTCACAAAAGTAGAGGCAGGGGCAGATCCCGCAGGGATGTGCTGGTGCAGTTGCACCTCCTTTGATTCTTGCTCCACCCAAACTTTAAAGCCAGCTGCCTGGCAGGCGCAGCAGTATTTCTATACAGCCAGCACTGAGAGAATCAATTGACTGCATGGCTCATTAGCATCACTCTAATTCCTAATTTCTCTCTACTCCACAGGCATTAACAACACTTCCCTTTCTAATGATCTTGTTCCACTATTCACACTATCCTTTCCTCTGCAGTTTGTGTCTGTTAGCCATTCCTGGTACAATTGCTTTGCACATCTGGCGACACCCTGGGACCATGTGAGCAGGGAGCTTACACAGCACTGCAGCTGCCCTTCACCATGAGAAGATTCCTCTTTGCAGGAGGAGTCCACAGCTGGCCAGTCCAGGTCTATGGCTGGAACAGTGGAAAGCTGCCTGAGAATACCTGACATCTGCCCTCGTCCAAGCACTGGTCAGCCTGGGAAGGAGAGGGGAAAAAAGGGCTAGAGGAGTGTTCCCCAACTCAGGACTCTCAGACACTATGTCACCCCTGAGGCATCTCTACTGCTCACAGCCACAGAAAATTTGCTCTTAATATCTGTATCTTTAGGTTGACCAGAGAGCAAAGTCTAATGTTACCTGCAGCGTGTTACATGTTCAGTACTGTTCCCCAGGGACCTGCCAAGATTGGGGACCACCGCTTTACAGTCAGGGTGTTAAACTGACTTGGCCCCCCTGGGTTAGATCCAGAAAATGGGAATCATCGGGGCCGGATCCAGAGTCACCTCCTACAGCAGGGTGAGTGGCACCAGGGAGTCGCAGAGGTTCATGAAGCCACTGCTTGCTCCCTGCTGCTGACATGGGACATGCTGTATACCCTAGATTTTGGTGGCGGGTCCCACTGCCACTCACCCCACCCTCCAGGAGCCCCACAGGCCAGATAGCATGGTTCTGTGGGTCAGATCTGGCCCCTAAGCTGTACATTTAACACCCCTGCTCTAGAGCCCTACACATAAGCAAGACCCTACAATGCTGCACACTTAAACACCCCAAACCACCAGTAAGTCACCAGCTATTTAGCTTGCAGGTTCTTTGGGCCAGGGATCATCTGTGTGTGCGTGTACAGTGCCTAGCATGAGAGAGTTCCCAAACTCAGCTGGGACATCTGAGCACCACAGTAATACAAATAAGAAGTCACCTGGCTCTACTGGAGCTGTGCAGGAGATGCACGTTAAGCTACTCTGAGCTTTGTTTTACCTAAGGTTTCCCCAGTGACCATGGGACAAAGTAACAGTAGGCACCATTTCATGTTCAGATGCAATTTTGTGGAAAGTAGGCTTGCAATGAAAGGATCACTCCAGCGCTCCTGGACCAAGACAGTCATGGTCAGGTTTCTTATAAGCATTCTGCAACCGCAGAGTTTAGACCCAAGGAGCCAGATCTTCAGCTGTAGCTCCTGGAAGCTGAAAGACCTATGCTGATTTAAACCAGCTGAAGTCAGCCCATAGAAACAAATTCTGCCATCCTAACTTAGGCCAAACCGTGATGCAAAGTCACTGACGGCTGGGATTTCCATTCATTCAGACTCAAAGCTCAAAAAGTATATACATCCTGTTACCTTTGCTGACTCCAGCCCTTTGTCTCATGCTGTAATTGATAGGCCTAACAACAGCAGTCCTACAGCACACATTCACTGGCCTGCCCTGCAAACAGCATGTCATTGAAGCCTGGTGGTGAAAAGGCATGCACAAACACAATGGGCCTGGGATTAAGCCCAGCTGCAGTACCAAAGTAAATACTTTTGCTGCTGACAGTTTGTCTGCAGGGATTTAGAGGAAAGTTTTGTGCATTTACTTACACAACATATGGTTTTATTTTCCCTGTTAACAAAAACAGTAGTGGTCAAAAGGAATCACCCTCTGACAACCGCTCAGTGGCCAATGTGAAGCAGGCTTGATGAGCTCAGTCCTTGTCCTAACACAGCGGCACTCAACTTTCTGGTCCTGCAGGCTAGACGAGTGATGCAGAGCTGGTCTGCAGCCCGGATCCCGTGGGCATGGTCAGTCTGTGGGCTGGGTCCAGTGTAGGGTCAGCCCGTAAGGACCACGAAGGGTCAGTCGAGAGCTGGCCATGAAGTGACCCCACACACCCGCATGATCGGGAATGCAGGGTCGTGTCATCCAGGCCGGGGTCTGGAAATTTGGCAGTGGGGGAACAGTGGCAGCATGAATTGCCACAGAAGGTTTGAGTGCCACTGTCCTAACATATACGCTTGAGAATAATCCCCACAGCTCTTCAGCACCAGGGCTGAAGGACTGAATGGCCTTAGAGGCTAATCTGTCCTATCTTCCTTCCAATGTATCAGCCACGTCAGGTTTGGGGCCTATTAATGATGTGATTTGGACTGTGCTCTGGGAATATATAGCAGAAGTCAATCTCCAGGGCTGTCAGCCCTGCTCCTTTAATTCACTTTGTGATAAAAACTCCTCTACAATCTGTTTGCCTGAGGCTTAGAAGCAGCCTGCTCTAATCTGCATTAGTAAATGTACTGGGATTTCTAAAATAAACACAGCCCTGATGTGAATGAGGGCAAGGTACAGGTGGTAAATCATCAGGCTCCAACCTGACCATGCAGTCATGCCCGAGGACCCCTGGACCACCAAACACCCCCCTGATCACACCTGTCTTTCAATCTGCAAGGGCTAAAACTTCACTTTAAATACACCATTGATTTCAATGGTGTCAAAGAGAACTTCACCCTATACCCCCATAGCCTGGGGAGTCTTATTTAAATATCACTGATCCTCATGAGTTACAGGCTCTACAACACAGCCAGCAGCAGTTAGCATTGCCAGGGTCAGAGTCTACTATGAAGCTGCGAAAAGGGGCATTAGTTAAGGCCGCGTATATGAATTCATTGTTTTCCAGGGAGTAAATCCAAGCTGGAACTCAGCAGGGCAGAACATGCAAACCCAAGACAGGTGTTATTCCCAGGCATAGCGGGTGGCCACAGGGGTTGGAAAATTGTGATTAACCAGCCAGGAGGCAACGCATAATCTAGTTTGCACTGGCCAATAGGAAACACACTCACTGAGGGCCAGATTGCGTGGAATTGCCCATATACCGAATGTCCTCAACTGCCATAGACAACTATAGGAGTGGAGTGTCCAAAGCATTTTGCCCTAGGGGACAGCGCAGATGACAGGCAGAGACAGCTAGAGAAATGAAGGCAGAAAGGGAACAAGCAGCTGCTTATGCCATCACAGAAAGAAAGCCCAAAGACTGTGCATCAGAGATGCCACCATAGGCAAAATATCATAGTCCACACTGCTATCCACAGGCGAATAAGATGCATGGAGAATGGCAGTAAATGGCTTTTATTTCTATGGGGGAAGTTCAACAAAAACCCCAAACTTTATTTAACATTTTTGTCTCAAAAGACTGGGGTTTTCACTTCAGGAGAAGAAGTTGCAAAGTGTTCTGGTCTGGCAATCAACTGAAGACTGAAAATGTTTGGGCCAAAAACCAAAACAATTCTGGTTTTCTGGGTTTGGGTTTTGTTTTGGTCCTTGGCCAAAATTCTTTAGTTTTGAGTTGCTGAAAACTGAACATTTGTTCAGCTTTTTCTTTTGTCGAATGAAACCTCAACACTTTTGTTGAAATTGGACATTTCCCATGGAAATTTCTGTTTTGACAAAAAATGCCATTTTTGGAAGAAAGAATACTTTGAACAAAAAGTCTCTGTAGGTGCAGATCTTGGTGGGCATGTCAGCCCCTTCTCTATACCAGCTGTTCCCTGCCACCTACCTGAATACAGGAGAGTCCAAGGCTTTGACTCCGGCGTAGTCTCTTTGTACACTTTGTAGTGTAGTCTCCAGTGTAGCTACAGCCTCCTGTGTCTCACAGATTACAAGAGTACAAGTCCACACTGAGGACATGCACTAGTATATCTTCACTGAGCTACCCACATCAATGGTCGAAACATCCAGCGTGGATATATAGCCTATAT